CGGAGCTCTCCTCCAATGCATGTCTGCAGCTGGTATTCGAACTGAGGACATTGCCATGCACTTCCACGATACATACGGCCAAGCTTTAGTGAACACAGCTGTATCCCTAGAGCACGGCATTCGAACGTTTGATAGCAGTGTTGGTGGTCTGGGGGGCTGTCCTTACAGCCCTGGCGCGACAGGTAACGTTTCAACGGAAAACATGGTTTACTTCATGGAGACTCTGGGTATGGACACTGGCATTAATCTGGATGCTATGTCTGACATTGGAGACTGGATCACAAAAGAGTTGGGTAAGGAAAATGGCAGCACCGTAGGCAAAGCAGTTCTTGGAGCTCGGACTCGAGCTATGCAAAACGCAAAGGAAAGCTGAAGAGGAAGCTTAAGCTTGTTACTTTATTGTTATCGCTGAGCATAGTAAGAAAAGGCAATCAACTATCTACCTACCTATCTAGTTATTCAGAAATAACTCACGTTCCAAGTTTCCTTCTGTTAAGCTGACAGACTTAAAATGCCCTTAGGGGGCAAGAAAACAGCGAACCTTAATGTAGGGTGTCAAAATAAACCTAGCAAAAGCTATCCTAAGCTTAGGCTATATCACCTAAGTCTTTTTGTCATTTAGGATCGAGGTCCTGTGTTTTCTTTCCTCCCCTCGAATGCCTACTTTACCTCTGTGAATGTCATGTGATGTCACTGATGTCGTAGAAACGTCCCCATGTGGAGGTGAAGGTTATCGGCCGTGCGTCGCCTTTGGGCTGGCGCAGCTGGAAAGGCCCCACTTGGATGAAGCAAGCTCAACCTCCTCCAACCTCTTGAGACCTCCCAACTTCACCTCTAAGCTTCGCGATCGGCTCCTATATTCTATTTTGCCCCTTACTTCAACCGTCCGATTAACGATCCATCGCCCATCATGGCGGACCCTCGCGAGTCCTCATCGTACTCGGTTATCCCCAGAATTCGATACAACACTGTTGGCGGCGTCAACGGTCCCCTCGTCATCCTCGATAATGTACGCGGTCGTCATCTGCCAAATCGAACCGGCTTGGAGCTTGCGGGCTGACAACAAAACAGGTCAAATTCCCGCGATACAATGAGATCGTGACACTCACTCTTCCCGATGGCACTGAGCGCTCTGGTCAAGTTTTGGAAGCTCGAGGTTAGTGTGGCTGCTGGCGTCTCTGAGGTAATGACGCGGAATATGCTGATACGGTTTGCTAGGTGATCGAGCTGTCGTCCAGGTACTTTTACGTGGATACGATGCGATATGATATGGCGATTGACGATTGTATAGGTCTTTGAGGGTACTTCTGGCATCGATGTGAAGAAGGTAGGTGGCATTGCGAGCTCTATTGGGAGAACATCAAGCTAAGACGACCACAGACCAAGGTTCAGTTTACAGGCCAGAGTTTGAAAATCGGTGTCTCTGAAGACATGCTTGGTCGTATCTTTGATGGTTCCGGTCGAGCTATTGATAAGGGTCCCAAGGTGTTAGCTGAAGATTACCTTGACATCAACGGTTCTCCTATTAACCCTTATTCTCGTGTAAGGCTACCCATCAGCGCTGCACGGTCGATATAATCTGACTCATGATATAGGAATATCCCGAGGAGATGATCTCCACAGGTATCTCTGCTATTGACACCATGAACTCGATTGCCCGAGGACAAAAGATTCCCATTTTTTCCGCCTCCGGTCTACCTCACAACGAAATCGCTGCCCAGATTTGCCGACAGGCTGGCCTCGTCCAGAAGCAGGGTATTACTAACAAGGGCGTTCATGATGGCCACGAGGAGAATTTCTCGATCGTCTTCGGTGCTATGGGTGTTAACTTGGAAACCGCCCGTTTCTTCACCCGCGATTTTGAGGAGAACGGCAGTCTGGAGCGTGTTACACTCTTCCTGAACCTTGCCAACGATCCTACGTGAGCTGCGAACCATATTCATAACGACGATACGCGTACTAATTTCTGTCCAGCATCGAACGTATTATTACCCCTCGTCTTGCTCTCACCACCGCCGAATATTACGCCTACCAGCTCGAGAAGCACGTTTTGGTCATCCTTACCGATCTTTCTGCTTACTGTGATGCTCTCCGAGAAGTTTCAGCCGCTCGAGAAGAAGTTCCCGGTCGTCGCGGATACCCTGGTTACATGTACACTGATTTGTCCACCATCTATGAACGAGCCGGTCGTGTTGAGGGCCGCAATGGTTCTATTACTCAGATTCCCATCCTGACCATGCCTAACGACGATATCACCCACCCCATTCCTGATCTGACAGGTTACATTACCGAGGGTCAGGTGTTCATTGACCGAGCTCTGGACAACCGTGGAATCTACCCGCCCATCAATGTTCTGCCTTCGCTGTCCCGTTTGATGAAGTCTGCAATTGGTGAGGGCATGACTCGAAAGGACCACGGTGATGTTTCCAACCAACTGTACGCCAAGTACGCTATTGGTCGTGATGCTGCAGCCATGAAGGCTGTCGTTGGTGAGGAGGCTTTGTCTGCTGAGGACAAGCTGTCCCTTGAGTTCTTGGAGAAGTTCGAGCGACAGTTCATCAGCCAGGGACAGTACGAGTCTCGATCTATTTATGAGTCTCTGGACCTTGCATGGAGCCTTCTGCGTATCTACCCTAAGGAGTTGCTCAACCGTATTCCCGCCAAGGTTCTCAACGAGTTCTACCAGCGAGCTGCGAAGGAGTCCAAGGCCAAGGGTAAGGCTCGAGCAGATACTGAGGCCCGAAGCCAGCAGCAGACGGAAGAGAACCTTATTGACGCATGAGGGAACGGCTTGTTGGCACTTTTATAGATAGTTTAGTGAGCGCGCGCACAAGGCTGATGGAAGAGCAGAGAGAGAAATTTTTTACGCTGATTGTTTTCACGCTGTTGTTGAGGGAGGCTGTAGAGCAGAGCAAGAGTAGGTATATGGGCGAAGATAGGGGGCGAGCCAATGCAATTCAACCGATCCTCAACCTGATCCTGACGTCTTATGATCGATGACCTGAGCCAAGAGGAGCATAACTTGCCATGGCGATAAGAACATACAATAGTAAAGTAAAACCTTGGATTGTTGTTATGGCATCTCTTTAGATTCAGACAACCAATAAAGTCAAGTTCATGGAGAGTGGATCTACAGTGTCGAAAGTTTGAGTCACGCACATGCCACATCTTTTTTTCTTTTTTGGGTTGTACTTACTCCAGATTGAACAGGTCATGTTAGAGAACTCTTGATTTGTTCCGAGGTAATTTCGTCGTGGATAACATATCGCCTTTTTCTCCCCCTCATACGAGCACAATATGGAGGAAGATAGAAGGCAAACAGACCTGGGCACAGCAGCAGATATCGAAGAAGCTCAGCTCGCTCAGACGAGTCAAGCCCCTGCCGTCCAAACTGAGCCAGAGACAGCAACGCCACTGAAACAACCAAAGAAGAGATTCATAGGACGAAGAGCAGCAGTTGAAGCCGCAGCAAAGCTCGGAGAGTCAGGAGCATTAGGGGAGAGCGGTGCTGTTCAGAGTATGTGAAAACACTGTCCTTTATCACCAAACGCAATTCAGGAATGGATCAAGATATACTCATGCTGTTTATTATAGCTGCCAAACCTCGGAGGGCTCCCCGACTTCTAAACCAAGTTCCCATGGAAATTCTTGAGAACACTGATCTGAAGGCTGCCATTGCGTTATTGCCTGCTAACTACAACTTTGAGATCCCCAAGACGATCCACCGCATTCAAACTGCAAACGCCAAGAGAGTTGCGCTACAGATGCCCGAGGGCCTTTTACTCTTTGCCACTACTATATCAGACATCTTGACGCAGTTCTGCCCTGGTGTCGAGACACTCATTATGGGCGATGTGACTTATGGCGCCTGCTGTATCGATGATTACACAGCAAGGGCCCTTGGTTGTGACCTGCTGGTGCACTATGCCCACAGTTGTCTCATCCCCGTCGACGTGACCACGATCAAAACTCTATACGTCTTTGTAGACATCAGCATTGACGCGACACATCTCCTAGCATCCCTTGAGCGCAACTTTGCCAGTGGCAAAACAATAGCTGTTGTCGGCACTATTCAGTTCAACGCTACTATCCATGGCGTCAAGAGCAGTCTCGAGCGCGGTGGCTTCCGAGTTCTCGTCCCCCAGATTGCACCATTGAGTAAGGGTGAGATTCTGGGCTGCACTTCTCCTCGTCTGAAAGACGACGACAATATCGATCTGATCCTGTACCTGGGTGATGGTCGTTTCCACCTTGAGAGTATCATGATTCATAACCCTTTCATTCCAGCGTACCGATACGACCCTTACTCTCGAAAGCTCACGCGGGAGGCGTACGGTCATGAGGAAATGCAGTCTCTCCGTCGAACAGCCATTCATAGCGCCCGTACAGCACGCAAATGGGGTCTGATTCTCGGCACCCTTGGCCGCCAGGGCAACCCGCATACATTGGGCCTCATCGAGAAAGAGCTCAAGGCGCGAGGCATTCCTATCGTGCACTTGCTACTAAGTGAGATCTTTCCGGGCAAATTGGCGCTCATGTCGGATGTCGAGTGCTGGGTACAGGTTGCTTGCCCTCGATTGAGTATTGATTGGGGTTATGCATTCCCACGGCCGTTGCTAACGCCATATGAGGCACTTGTTGCATTGGGCGAGCGACAAGATTGGGGTGAAGGCGTCTATCCCATGGACTACTACGGAAAGGACGGGCTAGGAAGGACAAGGCCATTGCAGACTGCCTCAGGATAGAAGCAATGATGATACTGAACGGTTGAGATCCACCAAGTGCTATAGGACCTTGGCTGGATACACAGTAGGGTGATGAAGAATAAAGTCGAATGTCGATAAAAAGAAGTGGACGCATGTCTGAGGCTTTGGACTCGGATTAAGAGGGTATGAGAGATTTGAGTGTTGACTTGGAATAAGGTGCAGAAGTGTCGCTCAGCATTCGTAGTACGATGTAGCCTTTTTTTTGTTGACCTCCTAGTGTAAAAGAAAAGACAATCAGGTCGCATTGGCTGTTCCGACAGGCTCTGGCCGGTTTGGAAACATAAGCTTGTACTTGACAATCTCAACCACCTCAAGATTTTCGCCCTGCTCGAGTGTTTCTCCCCCTGAGCCAGATATCACCTTATTCTCTCTCTTTCTGACCACGGCCATTGCTTTTGGGAGCTTCTTGATCTCCCCAGTGAGACGTTGATGCTGGCCGACATAAAGGTGAACCCGCTTCATCCATGCTGAGCCTTCGGTACCCATCACGAAATCTGGGAAGTCAAGTCTTCCAACTTGGACGCCGCCTAGTGCATCTCCATTGGCGTCTTGGGGTAGATTGATGGTTCCTTGAAGTTCTAGGAGAGCTAGACCTGAGGGGGTCTGCAGGAGTTGAGGTAGAGGACTTGAGGGTGGCGCCTTGTTGCTTGGAGGATATAGCTTGGTAGAGGACATGACGAGAGAAAAAGTGAGAGTGACGATGTTTCAGACTGTTTATATCGGTCCAACAATTGGGTGGATATGTATCAGCATCTAATCTCTCCAGCTGTGCTTCCACTTGCACCTTGAGTCTCTATGTAAACAAAAGTTCGAGGTACGCCTAGAGCTCTACAGTATGGGAAATGCCGATATATACACGGTGTGGAACACAGTTAATAGCAGCTCGCACCATGGATCTGAAGCAGGTGGGTGGAGAAGTCGGACTTTCTTTTGCCCGAGGGTTAAATTTGCGTTCATTGGTTGCCCCGTCCTAAGAGCCCTAGCGACTCGCACTTGCCTTCCACAATTTTCGAATTCGGAAATTTCGAACCTCATCATCCTCTACTAACTTCACAGCAGGCCAGGTCAAGTAAACTTGCACCCACCACAACTGGCAATATGAAGGTACGACAATAGTAATCAACAATCGAGCTATGCGAGTTTACGGGAGAGTCTTTTGTTATCTGAAATGGATTAATCACTCCTGTCAACTGGCCTCCACGCATGCGCTGCTGCTCGATTGAAGATCTCGAAGAAAATATTCGCTGACATTTTTCTTCTACAGTTGAACATCAGCTACCCTGCCAATGGCAGCCAGAAGCTCATCGATATTGAGGATGAGCGCAAGCTCCGTGTCTTCATGGAGAAGCGCGTACGTCGAACCTCTCCTGCCCTTTTGCCTACGACCGCTCGGCTCGTCGACAACATACCGATCAACAAAATGCTGACTCTTTTTTTTTTGGTAGATGGGCGCTGAGGTTCCTGGTGACTCCATCGGCGATGAGTTCAAGGGCTACATCTTCCGCATCACTGGTGGAAACGACAAGCAGGGTTTCCCCATGAAGCAGGGTGTCATGCACCCTACCCGTGTCCGCCTCCTCCTCTCCGAGGGCCACTCTTGCTACCGACCCCGACGCACCGGTGAGCGCAAGCGAAAGTCTGTCCGTGGCTGCATCGTCGGCATGGATCTCTCTGTCCTCGCCCTCAGCATTGTCAAGCAGGGTGATGCTGACATCCCCGGCCTCACCGACGTCGTCCACCCTAAGCGCCTCGGTCCCAAGCGCGCCACCAAGATCCGCAAGTTCTTCGGCCTCACCAAGGATGACGATGTATGTCTCTCCCTACGCCCATACTCGATCATCGCCTACCCGGAGCTGCAGTGGAGGAGTTGGCAGACTGGGTAGAGTGTGAGAGGACCCCTTGATCTTCTTTGTCAAGCAAGAGTTCAAGGGGTAGCGAGTTGAACAATCATAACCACAAGAATTGAAAGTAGCTAATGCTTACATGATACATAGGTCCGCAAGTACGTCATCCGACGAGAGGTTCAGCCCAAGGGTGAGGGCAAGTCTCCTTACACCAAGGCTCCCCGCATCCAGAGACTCGTCACCCCTCAACGTCTCCAGCACAAGCGTCACCGCGCTGCCCTCAAGCGCCGCCAGGCCGAGAAGGTCAAGGACGAGGCCGTAAGTCACTCACACGCTCATCACACCTATCATCAGCATCTAACACGATATGCAGAACGAGTACGCCCAGGTCCTTGCCAAGCGTGTTGCTGAGGCTAAGGCCAACAAGGCCGATGCCCGTAAGCGACGAGCAAGCTCTATGCGCAAGTAGGGTTCTGGCGTTTAATGAAAAAAAAAGTGGAATCATACCTTGGTCTTGTAGTTTGCATGCATTGGGAGTGAGGATTCTCTATAGGGCTTGTTTTGAGCCGGCCACGAATGCGTTAGAGACAGTTCGAAAATATGAACATGCATTAATGCACTCGTATTCCGCATCCATTGGCAACCTCCGCCCCTGTCTACGTATATACTATGCCATTCCTCTCCTATGTTTCTTAATCATGACTTGTTTATAGTCTTACACCAATTTTATGTAGTCCATGACGGGAGTAACTGGAAATCAGGGGGTGAATCACTAAGAAACACAACTCAAGCCATAGAGCAACCAAACACAGCACGCACAATTTGTTGTTTTCCGGGTGATCACCAATTAAACTTTGATTGCTATACATGAAACTTCGCCTATCGTCTACTTTTTGTGCGCTTTCCACGCTCCAAGGAACCTGTAGGAGACCTGCACTTCTCCCAAGGTGAAGCCCGGACGAGGATGCTACATCCAGTGCTCAAGATCATGAAATCTCGAGGCTAGGCTGATAAAACACAATACCAGTACCGTAGTAAAAATCAACAACTATCTTTTCCATTGGGTGTCCCCATCTATGATCCCTTTCCCTTTACGCGCCTGCAATGCAAAGATTGACGATTACGCGAAGCCAAAATATTCGCTGCCTGCTGTGATGGCCTTCATGATCTGAGAACGCAAATGGTCGTAGCTCTCATACTCTGGAAGGTCAAGCTCTGTAATTTTTTATGTTAGTCAATGTACGAATTGAATGCTGACGATTCTACTTACGGTTAAAACAGGTATGCGAAGAAGGCAATCTGTCTTTGTTGCCATAGTCACGGTGGATGTTGAATCGGTTAACACCGTTCATGCCTTCAAGCTCCTTGAAGCCATTAAGTGGAACCTTGCTGGTTCCTGTGACGAACTGCAACAATTTGGCGCGCTCTTCCTTGTCAAACGACCGCAAAGCTCGCCAGAACCATTGAATTTGTTGCGAAGATGGTGTGTAGTTGTGATACTCTGTGTTGCTCTTCCAGTCATCGATATCAATATCGGGGAGGCCAGAAATCAAAAGCTCCAGCTCCTGTTCGTTGAATATGGATATCAGTTCGGCAGGGATAATGTCATGGAAGCCTGTTGAAAATTGGTTAGTGATTGAATGAAGTTATAATTGATTGAAACGCTTACCTTGAAGGAAATGGGCCATCTGCTCCTTGACGGAAGATAGCAACTTGTGTTCGACAACAAGACGGACATAGTCATGTTTGTTCTCCTCCGTGACGGCAATCTCTCGGCCATTAGGGATGAGATCAACGACGGTGGTGGCGCCGAACTCATCGTTTTCGACCGAGAAAGTTTCAGTGATGATGTCTGTGATGTCGTTTTCCAGCATCCAGCACAAAGACTTATAGTAGTCGGGGTCGAATGATTCCATATCCTTGACCGAGACGGATTTGCCGAGGATTCGCTTGTATACAGCACGACTAAAGTAACAATCAAGGACGCGACCCTCGTATAATGCTTTGCCGATGATGCGACCGATGAATTTGAAGAACATAAGATGCTCATCATTGATGCCGCTGAGTTTGTTTGGGTGGAAGGTCGTCCGGTCAGAGGACACCGGTGTGAAGAGCACATAGTTTGGATCAAACATCTGCCGAGAGAGTACTTGGAACCACTCGCGAGTAACTCCACCAGCATCAACGCCTTCCTCGCCATGGAAACGAATGTTGAGCTTTCCAAATTTCATCTCATCCCCAGACTTGAAGTACAAAGACTTGAATGAGTCATGGAAAACCTGTTCACGACGGACGGAAAGTTGTAAAGTAGGATAGGAAGGTCGGCTCTGATTGCTACCAGATCGGGAATGGACGCTGCGGTTAAAGTAGTTGCGCTTGTTGTCGAATTCCAGTACCTTGGGGTTCTTCACGAGGAGTGCGAAGGTGCCCGACATGAGCTTGGGATTGCTCCTGACAAGCTCGTTAAGGATACGCCGATGGTCCTCTGTGAAGCTAAAGAAGAGACTGGCCGTACGAGACTCGGGTGCCGGGCTTGAGAGGACCATTTCTTTCTGTTGTGAGGGATCATCGTTGGTGGTTGTATTCTTGCAGACCACCATGAGGGATTCAATCAGTGGCAGCAGGATTGTAGCCACATTGAGCATGCTTTCGCGCTGGCGAATGGCACTCAGGCAAGCACTCAACTTCTCCCACATGGCCGAAAAGGTCGAGTTGTGGTAGAGAGATGTGACTAGATCGTGTCTCTCATCCTTGTCCTTGCTGGACTCGGCCTCGTCGCCCTTTTTCTTATTGTCGAACAAATGATCTAATGCTGTCAAAACACGAAGGAGCTTGTTTTGCTCGGATGCCCCTGGCGAGAATTTGGCAAGAGCAACGCCTTGGATCTCAGTGCCTGAAGATGCCCTTTCAATATGTGGCAAAAGGTCGTCCAGATCAGCGACGATGTTCTCACTAAGAAGCCGGGCCTGGTGGACAAGCTCCTGACCAAATGTTGCCTTGGCCCCTGGAATGGCTGAGAGGTTCTTGATAGTCGAGATCGTGTTTTGGAAAGTCTTGGAGCTGCACTCTCGAGCCACAAAGATCCTTACGGCTAATGTCAGGTTCTGGGCGGGAACAATAGGCGGCTGAAGTTGCCGGAGTTTCTTCTGGACTGCTTCTTTCTTCTCTTGTTTCTTGTTATTGACATCAGTGACAGTGTCCTCTTTGACATCGGTGCTGGACTGCGTAACGTTGCTCGTTTCGGTTGGTTCGGCTTTCGAAGCTTGCTCCACAGGATCTTCAGTTTTGGGCATCTCTCCTCCCGGGGTCGAATCAATAGCTTTCAGTTCGTCTTCGGCTTCCTTACGACGACGTTCAAGATTTTGAAGAGGCAATGTGACTCGATTCAACAAATCAGCCAGATGGGTCATAACGACGGAGCTTTCCATAACAAGGTCGCGGTCAAGGAGTGATAGCAAAGAGTTGATGGCATACTTGTGGGACTTGGAGTCCTTGCCTTTGCCCTTGCGGCTCAGGGAGCGCTTGAGAGTTGAACCGACAGCTTCGTGCTCTGTCAGGAAAAGCCAGGGAATATGAGGGTTCTTCGATGATAACTCCACCAGCAGATCCAGGCACTGCTGAACAATCAAGAGAGGCGAGGTTTCGGAATTGGTTTGCGTAGTGTTTGCGGCGGGTAGACCAGTCAGACTTCTCTTGAGTGCCTGCGGGGTCTTCTGCTCGGAGTCCTTATCCTTATCCTTCGGTCTTCGTGCCTTTAGGGACAACTGGCCGAAACTACGCTCGACAGCCCCCATGTCTGTGCTACCGTCCTGCAAGATCTGAAGGAGAGTGCTAATCACCTCGAGTCGAGTTTGCTTATTCTCGCAGACATCGGCAAATACGTTGAATAGGTGGTTCCTTATGGAACCCTGTTGCGTAATGAACATCAGACGAAGGAGCGTAGCGACACCAGCCTTATCAAGCATCTGAACAACCGTTCGGCGCTGGACCTTTGCTCCCTCTTGTGGGTTAGGTGGCCCAGGCTGGCGGTTTGTGCTGGCTTGAGGGCTGCGGCCTGTGATGACGGAATGGCCGTTGTTGTGGTGCGACAAAGCTCGGGCCTGGGCCGCCATTTCTGGGGTCAGTCGATCCATGAGCTCTTCGCCTTGGTCCATAAGAACCTGTTGTCGTAGATCAGGCGGGAAAGTGAGGAGGATACTGGCAGTATCCATTTCTGGTATGACAGCCTGGCCAGTGCTGGCGGATGCTTGGCGATTCGTTTCTTCACGAGCCCGGCGGCGTTGCTCTTGTCGCTCCTGTTGAGCTATTTCGTGTCGTAATTCTTCAGGAAGAGCATCTAGAAATTCTTGGAAAGCTTCGGTTGAGTTCCCATTTGTCTCTTCACGTGCCTCGGACCTTCTGGTGCTGATTGCTTGTGCAATGACCTCCTCGCGAAACTCCTCAGGAAGAGCTGCGATATAATCAGGATCAATACCGAGTTCGGTGACGTCGACTTCTTCGCCTCTAATTGTGGTCATAACACGAGGACCGTCGTCGGCGGTTTGCTCTGTAGCCTCCGAACGTTCTGCTTGACTTTGGTTCGTCGGCTCGACGCCTTCCATCGCACCTCCATCGCCTTGGCCTTCAGTGGACACGTCCTGATTAGCGGCTGCTTCAGAAGCAGCACGTTCAGCAGCCTCTCGAGCCTCTGCCTCTCGCTTTTCTCTCTCCGCCTTCTCTTTAGCCTCTTTGACTTCACGTGCCAGGCGCTCCTCTTCGTCTCGTTTCTTCCGTTCTTCTTCTTCGCGCTTCTGCTGTTCAGCTTCTTCGGCTTTTAGCTTCTTTTCCAACTCCATCGCAGCGGGGGTAAGCTTAGCCACGATGATGTTCTGGAGCTTAGCCGTTTCTGTCATATTGCTGGTCCCAAAGACCATCCTGGCTTCCTCCTGATATCGATCCATCGTGCCTTCAATAGCAAACGACACAGCTTGTAATGGATCCTGAGTCGAACCTTCGCGTCTCTGTTCAGTACGGGAGGTTCGTAGGGCGCCAAGCTCTCTAGACTCGCGGTGCCCATGCGGACCAGTAATCTGCAGATGGAAGGCAGGCTGTCCGTTGCGCCCCATTATTGGGAGGAATTCCATTAGTTCACCGAGGAAGCCCATGGTTCCCTCGATATGTCGTCCACCTGAGCCAAAGATCGCTTCAGGAACTCGCAAACCGATAGTGTGATTGATGGTGGGACGTTGAGATGCTTCTCTGTTCTGGTCGCCCCGTCTGAGGAGTGGGTTTGTGCCATCATCAGGGTTAGATTGGCCTGCCCCAGGGCGATGGCTGCGGGAAAAGAAGCTGCGAAAATCGCCAGCAGCGGCATCCCGATGAGAGCCAACAATGAAGCCGGGAGGGAAGGGGCTGCGCGAGTCGGTGGTACGGGAAGGAATAAAGCGTCGGCGACCTGGGTTGTCTACCATGAACATCTGGCGGTAACGA